ATGTCCGGTTTTTTGCCGGATGTAACCTAACGTAATCCATCCGGCAAAAAAACGGACAAACCTAACCTAACGTAATCCATCTGGCAAAAAAACCGGACAAATCTATCGTAAAAGTCACACATCAGGCAAAAAAATCGGACGAACCTACCCTAACGTAATCCATCCGGCAAAAAACCGGACAAACCTAACGTATAAGTCATACATCCGCCAAAAAAACCGGACAAGCCTAACCTAGCGTAATCCATCCGGCAAAAAATCCGGACAAACCTAACCTAACGTAATCCATCCGGCAAAAAAACGGGACAAACCTAACCTAGCGTCCGGTTTTAGCAAGTAAGTAAATAAGCAAGCAAGAAAGCAAGCAAGCAAGTAAGTAAGAAAGTAAGTAAGTAAGTAAGTAAGCAAGCAAGTAAGCAAACCAGCAAGCCACCTAGCAAGCAAGCGAGCAAGTAAGCAAGCAAGCAAGTAAGTAAGTAAGTAGGGAAATAAGCAAGCAAGCAAGCAAGCAAGCATGTAAGTAAGGAAGTAAGCAAGTAAGCAAGCAAGCCAGCAAGCAAGCAAGCCAGCAAGCAAGTAAGCATGCAAGCAAGCAAGCCAGCAAGCAAGCAAGTAAGTACGTTAGCAAGCAGCAAGCAAGCAAACAAGCAACCAAGCAGGCAAGCAGGTATGCAGGCAGACAGGCAGGCAGGCACGCAAGCAAGCAAGCAAGCCAGCAAGCCAGCAAGCAAGCCAGCAAGCAAGCAAGTCAGCAAGCAAGCAAGCCAGCATACAAGCAAGCAAGCCAGCAAGCAAGCAACCAGGCCAGCAAGCAAGTAAGCAAGTAAGTAAGTAAGTAAGTAAGTAAGGAAATGAGCAAGCAATCAAGCAAGCAAGCAAGCAAGTAAGTAAGTAAGTAAGGAAGTAAGCAAGTAAGCAAGCTTACTTACTTGCTTGCCTGCTTGCTTGCTTGCTTGATTGCTTGCTTATTTCCTTACTTACTTACTTGCTTGCTTGCTTACTTACTTGCTTGCTTGCTTATTTCCTTACTTACTTACTTACTTGCTTGCTTACTTGCTTGCTTGCTTGCTGGCTTGCTTACTGGCTTGCTTGCTTGCTTGCTGGCTGGCTTGCTTACTTGCTTGCTGGCTGGCTTGCTTACTTGCTTACTTACTTACTTACTTACTGGCTTGCTTGCTTGCTGGCTTGCTTGCCTGCTAGCTGGCTTTCTTGCTTGCTGGCTGGCTTGCTTGCTTGCTTACTTACTTCCTTACTTGCTAGATTGCTTGCTTGCTTGCTTAATTACTTACTTACTTGCTTGCTTACTTACTTACTTACTTACTTACTTACTTACTTACTTACTTACTTACTTACTTACTTACTTACTTACTTTCTTGCTTGCTTGCTTACTTACTTACTTGCTTGCTTGCTTGCTTGCTTTCTAGCTTGCTTGCTTGCTTACTTACTTANCCATTTCAAATTTGTTAATGTTTATTTCTAAACTAATAATTTTGTTTAAGGCCCAACCACTATCTTTTTCCTGGAACTCTTCCAATTTGTTGTTAATCTTATCAGCTACGTGCTCCTGAAACCAGACATTAAGATCTGTTCCTGCATCAACGACTGCATTTCTTGTATTGAAATATTTAAATTCTGAAATTGTTTCGTTTGAATTAGGTTTGGCTTTAATAAATTATCCACAGAAAGTAGCGTTAACCTTTATGGTTGGATGAGTCTTTAGAATTATCAATATTCTGTTCTTAAACAAGAAAAACTCGTCACTTAAGAATGCTTTAATGTCTTTATGTTTTAAATTTATAATCAAACCAGATCGTATGCGGCTTGAAAATGCAGAATTTACAGCGTACTCGACGACTACGCTTGTCTCTATGCCCTGCCCCTTCATGTTCCGAATTTGATTTTAATAAAATTTTGATTCGTTTTAAGTGACCGATATTAGTTTCCAGTTTACGCTTAGTTCCAACTGAATCAAAACTTTTGCTGGCTTTAAGAAGTAACCGTATTTGACGGTTTATTAACTTTATAAAATTTTGAATACCGTGTGTACCACCGGCCTGTACATTTTCTAAAACCTGCGTAAGTTTGACAACAAAATTATCGGCTTCCTGAACAAGAGGCTCCATAATTTTCAATTAAATATAAAATAAAAAGATTGCAACTAATGTAAAACGCTTTCTATTAAAAACATGACACACCAAATATAAAACATTGGGGGCACTTCAGTTTTTTAATTCTTCTATGCAAGTCCTGGTTGTTGATGTTCTTGTGGCAGCTCCACAACCTCAAAGTTTATAGCCGGGTGCGGCTGATTGCACTGTACTAGACCCCTAAACACTAATCCGTACTTCCTAGGCACAAAGTGTTCCAAATTTGCCTCGATTGCCGGCAAAGACCTCCTAGGTAAAAACACTACGTTCTCGCCCAAGTCGATAAGAACCGTCTTCCCAAACCGGGTGCTATTTTTATCCCACAAATCGGTATGGGCTGGTCCACAGGGAGATCCTGTAGATTAATTACTGAATTCCTGCGGATCGAGGAAACCTCATTAATTTGACTTAGATTCATACTACAACAACAATAGAAAAATCAAGTGTAAAAGAGCGAAAAAATAAATAAATAAAAAAATAAAGGATGTGTTTAATAAATAATTGACTATTTCAAAAACAAATAACTAACTTGTATTTTGTAAAGGGACACTAGAGATAATAATTTGAACAAGCTGTTGCTGTAAAAAACATAAACTACTGAAGAACTAGCTGGAGACTAATTGCTTCTGCAAGCTATTGATGTAGACTGGTAAATGATAACTTTATTCCACTATATATATATATCATCAGTCCGTGACTCTTATTACATCCGGCCAACGTTCGTTATTCTTATCGCATGCTGTCTAGACGCTACGTGGCCACAATTTTTGCTAACACTACAACTATAAAGGAAATAATATATCAGGTTACAGTTTATATTAAAAAGCAAGTCTGAACTTGTAGAAAACAGGTCTGAACCAGTAGAAAACAAGTCTGGACCTGCAGAAAACATGTCTGAACCTATAGGAAACAGGTCTGAACCAGTAGAGAACAAGTCTTAAATTGAGGTGACCTTGACCCTAGGTGACCTTGACCTCAGACGACCAGAGGTCGATGACCTTGACTTGACCTTGGTGTGACCTTGACCCCAGACGACCAGGGGGCCATGACCTTGACATGACCTTGATGCGACCTTGTCCCCGGACGACCAGAGGGCATGACCTTGACTTGACCTTGGTGTGACCTTGACCCCAGACGACCAGAGGTCATGACCTTGACTTGACCTTGGTGTGACCTTGACCCCAGACGACCAGGGAGTCATGACCTTGACTTGACCTTGGTGTGACCTTGACCCCATACGGCCAGGGATCATGACCTTGAATTGACCTTGGTGTGACCTTGACCCCAGACGACCTGGGTGTCATGACCTTGACATCACCTTCACGCGACCTTGGCCCCAGACGGTTAGAGGTCATGACCTTGACTTGACCTTGGTGTGACCTTGACCCCAGACGACCTGGGGGTCATGACCTCGGCATGACCTTGGCGCGACCTTGACCCCAGACGACCAGAGGCCATGACCTAGGTGTGACCTTGACCCCATATGACCTGTGGGTCATGACCTTGACGTGACCTTGGCGTGACCTTGACCCCAGACGACCAGGGGTCATGACCTTGACTTGACCTTGGTGTGACCTTGGCCCCAGGCGACCTGGGGGTCAATGACCTTAACGTGACCTTGGTCTAGAATGATGCAACACCGGATAAGAATGATGTAATGCTGTTTGGAGGTCATTGCCCTCGAATGATGCAATACCAGATAAGAATGATGCAATGCTGTTAAAGGAATAATATATCAGGTTAAAGTTTCTGCTAAAAAACAGGTCTGAACCAGTAGATAACAAGTGTGGACCTGTAGAAACTTCACCTCGAATGATTCAATACCGGATAAGAATGACGCAATGCTGTTTGGAGGTCATTGCTGGTAAAGGAAATAATATATCAGGTTAAAGTTTGTGCTAGCGTGGCAGTATTAAAGGAAATAATATATCAGGTTAAAGTTTATGCTAGCGTGGCAGTATTAAAGGAAATAATATATCAGGTTACAGTTTATGCTAAAAAACTGTAGAAACTTGATCTCGAATGCTGCAATACCAGATAAGAATGACGCAATGCTGTTTGGATGTCATTGACCTCCCTTATTGTGATTGAATTTTAAATTTACCACCAACTGGCCATGTGACGTCACTTCCATGCCGCCATGACACTTCTTGTATGACGATACTTCCATGCCGCCATGACACTTCTTGTATGACGTCACTTCCATGTCGCCATGACATTTCTTGTATGCTAACACCCACGCATCTCTTGCACAACGACAATGCCCACAAGAAGCCGCTGAAGGAGCGATGTACACTGACCATGTGACTTTGACCCCATGTGACCTTGACCCCAGGTGACCTTGACCCTAGGCGACCTTGACCCCGGGTGACCTTGACATGACATTGACCTTAGGTGACATTGACCCCAGGTGACTTTGACATGACCTTGACCCCAGGTGACCTTGGGGTGACCTTGACCCCACGTGACCTTGCCACGTCACTTCCTGGTCCAGAACCGGCCTCATATATCTACTGGCAGGATAAAGAGGGATAATCACCCACGATCCCAAATCATTGAGGCCAATTTCTAGCCATGGAATAATGGCGCGGTTCTGCTTTAGAGAAAAAAATGGATCAATTTCAAAAATTAAGTCTTTCAAGTTTTGTTGTTTACAAAAGTCCATAAAGTATTTTCATTATTTTGAATGATATAGGTAGCATTTTTCGTTTTATGTAATTATTACATTTGTTCAAATATGGCCAGTACTACTCTACTCTTCCCAGTATGTGCGCAAAAGAAGAATAATGTACCATTATGCCTTCAGGTTGCTCTTGTTGCAATTTGTTGTAAATACGATTAGAATTAAATACTTACCATTTCTATAAATTGGTCAATATTCCCCGTAAAGCTCAACTTATGTTTGAACAAGTACCCAGTCTCACAACCCTCCTCGCTGAAGGTGAAACAGGGGTTGTCGAAGTTATCGGGCGCCGTCAGATAAAAGGGCATTCCGACTTTGTCCAAAAACGACCCGAAAGCCAACTTGTAGTTCTTCGTCAGCTGCGTGAGATTGTTGGGTAAATCAGCCCCTATGGTTTTGAAGATTTTAAGATGAGCCCACATCGTCGCGCTCATGTCGCCCAAGTAGTACAGGTCTAAGGGGTAGTTCTTCGCTGGTTTGTAGGTAAATGTGAAGTTTTGGGGGGTGTCTGCAAATCACAAATTAGTTATCAAAGATATCAAATGTTTATGCCCTCTGCACGAAGATGAGCAAGTTTTATTAAGCAACTGATTGTCTAAATGCTTCTGTTGTCGAAACACTTGTCTACTCTGTGCATCTTGTGCATGTGCGTTGTGTTGTAATATTACTTAGTCGGCGTATATAACTAACAGACCATCAGTTGTTTGATAAAAGTTGCTTAGTTTCATGGCCTCTATCACTCTTTTCAAGGAATTGTGCAGAGGAGGTTATTATTCTGAAGAAGACATCAAGGTATTATCAATATGATAGCAAGTTTTAACATTTTCTCTGTCTACTTTCAAGTCTCAGTCTTAGTTTTAATTAAAATTCGAGTTACCTTTGGCAAGATAAACGTTAAGAAACTGTGGTTTCAACTGTATCACTTCCTTTGCGCTTCCATCTGTAAATGCTTTGTTCTTATCCTCCGGTATTTCTACTTTATTTTCCATGTTGACCTCCAGCTTCTTTTTTGAGCATGCAGATAGGTTTTCCAAAATGTTGCACTGTCGACCCTGGTAGCTCTAAAAATTGATGATTCAGTTGCACGGTTCCAAGGTGTATAACTGACGGAAGATGTTTTTTTTTTTTGAGAAAAATATATTTTCCGAGAAAAGATAACTGTTGACAAATGATTTATACAAATTTTGGTTTTACCAAAGTATTTGTCATCTCTACAAATACGTTTGTTATCAACAGAATCATTGTAGCACTGGTACAGGATGTAAAAATATGTTCAAATGACAAACAATATTGCTGTTAAATCATCATTACTTAATAAGTACTTTTTAAACATTAAAACTTGTTGCTAAAACAACTAACAAGTTTCAGTCTGAAGATATCAAACTACTTTTAAAAAAAAATAGTAGTCTCATTTGTTTTGATCAAATTTGACTTTAAAAATCCATACTACAAAATAAGCATAAAATATTAGAGAGAAAGTTTATTTTATCACATATTTGGTGTCAAAATCCACCTACCTCGTCGTAGCACCAGTTGCAGCACGTATGGGCTTGCAGACACTCATCGCACACCTCCTGGTCTATGCAGAGCCTTTGGATAACCAAATCCGAACATTTTCCGGTCTCTGTATTTTGACAATTAACACTAATTACCATTAATAAAAAGGGTATAGCGTAATACATATTCGTTTACACGTTGAAATCATAGTAACGTTATCATATCCACGGTGGGAAGATAAGAAGATTATGGTTCAAATTATCAGATATCTAAGTAAATAGGTGTAGAGGTTACTTGGTATTTTGTAGGAGGGAAAATTTAGTGAATGGTTTGTCTAAAAATATAACTGAGTTAAGAGGGAGGACTTAGATAGTAGCCTTGTGGTGGTCTTATGTGGTAAATTTTGTCTTTATAAGGAGAAAGGGAATGCTGGCTATTTCTTTTTTTGTTCCATAGAAAAAGTTAGAAGTGATTGAATGTTGTCCGATTCAATTTATTTTAATTAAGAAGTGCATTTCAAATTTCTCTTTGTTAAAGTTCCAAATCAAATCTGCATTTTAATACATCTGTAGAGCCACAAAATTCATTTTCTTAACGTTTTAATCTTTTTTGAGAAAGAAGAAAGATACAATTTACTTTCTATTCCCTATAGAACGGTGTAAGTATAATAAATCGTATTTGTTTATTTAATTTAAACCATTGTAACAGAAAAATTTTGAACTAACTCTATGAAACGTATTACGCATAGCTGCAACATATAATACAGGTTTGTGTATTGCGGGTTGACTATAAAACTATAAGATCTATTACAAAGTGTATTTAAATGAAGGGGTACAAATAATATACGGGGTGTGTCACATAACAACCGACACATGTAGGGAACTCAAAATATAGTGATTTAACGCAACTTGGCGGACAAAAAAATTATTACTTTATTTTACGGGGAATTTAAATCTAAAACTTTCCTTACTCTTGTTAGTTTTCAAAAATCTTTGTCGATTTCACAAAAACATGAATAACTAATAATACGTATTGTAGCTGTTATTTCAAATCATCAAAAATTCATAAGTTAGAATAAAAATAATTTAATAGAAAAACAAACAACTTAACATAAATAACATACACTTTGCACTGATAAGTTATAGAAATTGTTCAAAATGATCACCGTTTTCTCTGATCTGCAAGTTTGACGTTTAAATTCATAGCCAACTTTTGAATTTTCGATGATTTTAAATAACAGTTACAATGCGTATCATTAGTTATTTGTGTTTTTGTTTGCAACAACAAAAGTTTTTTGAAAACTAACAAAAGTAAGGAGAGTTTTAAAATTAAATTCCCCATAAAATAACGTAGAATAATTAAACTTATATTTAGAGTGGCTAAATAAGGGTAGAAATTCGAATTTAATACAATTATATGAACCAGTAGCGGAGATACTGCAAGGCACAGTCTAATAATAATAATTTTAAAACTATTCATTCCACAACAAAAAAAATTTAAACATTTAGTACAAACACCATGTTATCATTAAAAGTTCAGATAAATCAGTGGCGTTGCAATTGGCCTCTTACTACCTCTTTTTATTACTAATGATTACTTTAAAATTGTATTTAATGTAAAAAAATACACAAAAACTTTTTTGTGTAACGAACAGCTTTAAAGTCATTTTTTTAAGCTAAGCTTATTTTAAGCAAAGAATTAAAAATTACTGGGTTTAATTGTAATTGCAACTTCAAATGAAGCGGCATTGGATTAAAATCTATTTGACCTAATTATCATTTTAGAGCTCAAGATTATCAAGACGTTATTTGTGTTCTATAAGGATTTTTTGTACAGTCAATACTTTTTGAGTTATTTGCGCCTAAACATGTTTCTATCCCAAAAAATGCATGTTTTTGTGCCATTTTTTCGCGAATATCTCAAAAACTACAAGTTTTATCAAAAAAATTATCACAAGTAAAAATGAAGGTAATTAAATAGCAGAGATTACTTTTTTTATTTTTGTAGATGGTATAGAACCCGAGTTATGATTCCCAGAAGTTGAAGTCAATTTCGAAGATAGCTATAATCGAAACGTTCAACGTCCTGTAACGGAAAAATTAAAGGTTTTTCGAGGAAAACTTATATAACACCTATTAAACTTCTTGAAAATACATTTAAATTGAGTGGTGGTAGAAGTCGTTAGCATGAAAACTAATGAAGTTACAATCAAAATAAAATGATTCGACTGGATCTTTGAAAAAAAAAATCGGTATTAAAATTAATGACTTGACGGAAAAAAAAAATAAAACGTATTCCTTCTGCAATTTACTTTATTTATGTATTAACAGTAGATTCTGGGAATTTGAACGATTTTAGAAGCCTAAATTAAAAGAAAAATTTCATATAATAGAATAAAAAATTGTAGGTATTTTTCTTACTGAACAATTTGCTTTTTTTAATTTTTGTAGGACAAAATTTGACTGAGTTATGACCGTTAGAAGGTCAAAACTAAGCTCCAAGACTGCCTTTCTTGAACCCTTTTAGCTTACAAATCTAAAAAACGAAGGGCGCAACAAAACTGAAAATGACAGAACTCAAACTGCTTTAAATTCCCTACAAATTGGTTTTTGGAGTAAATTTATAATTTTAAAATTACAAAAGTTATGGTAAAAAAATTAATCGCATTTTTTTGGTAAAATTTTCGGAGCGGGTAAATTACCATCATCTTTGTGTATTTTGGAGCACTTTGTGAACTGATTTGAGTAAGTATTTTAATAATATACATACACACACGTATCCATTTATAATGTATATAATTTTTTTTTATTCGACATAAATTTAATAAAAAAATCTTAAGATTCAATTCAATAAAATTAAAAAAAATAATTATATCATCAAACTCACATATAATTTTTAGGAAATTCTTCTATAAGGGGTAGGGTTATTTTATGAGGGGTAGGTCTTCCATAAGGGTTTTTTAGGTGGCTGAAAAGCTGCAATATACCATAGATCATTTCAAAACCAATAAAAAGTTTATAATTCAACATACCTATGCATACCATTAAAACATCTCAAGCTTTCAATAATATTTTATTTTATTATAAGAGATGATTTTTAAGGGTTACAACTTTGTAATAAGACGTAAGATTTCTAATGAATAACAAAAGAAATGCAATACATTGTGAATGCACCAAAAGAATATTTTAAACTGTTAAAAACTCTTTTTTTCTATTTTTTTGGCCATGTAGCTTTAGTTTTTAAGGATTTTTAAGGGTTGAAAAGTAATTAAATTTCATAAATTATATTAAAAAACATGAAAGGAACTGTATCCAACATATTTGAACATGAATTGAATCTTTTTAATCAATATAACTTTTGAAGTGGGTCAGATGAGTTTGTATGCACATTTTCAGGAAAATCCATGCTATCCGAAAAAATTGGGAGCTTTTACTTTATTTTCGCCTTCAGTGACTGGACTATGATAAAATTTCCTTATTTGGATTTAAATATGTATGCATGTATTTAGACAATTTTAACTTTATGATAATAAGTTAGCCAATCTGTTATTTTATTAAGAAATTACTAAGGCTTTAAAAATAAATTTGCTTACTTGTTCAGTATTATAATAGTGTTTATTTTATTAGTTAATATCCAATATAGAGTTGTTCCTGAATTTACATTAACACTTTTTTAGCAGATAAGTATATGCATCAACTTTCTGTAAACGTTTCTTGTTTGAATAAGTCGTACAAATCAAAGATTTTATTTCCAATTTCGCAGCTATGGCAACGACGCGTCGGGACGCCGTCAACACGCGCAAGCTTCGACGCTCGAGCGTCGCTTGTTAGTCGTCGTCACTCACACCGCATTTTCACTTTTGTTTACAATAATTTCACTATCAGTTACACCGGTAAAGTCCTGGTGAAATGTTCTACGTCTATTCTTTACTACAACTCTCTAATCGTGGACTTACTCGTGTTGACAATCCTTAAAATTCGATTCGGAATGGGTCTCCTACCTGTTCATGGATGATTTGAGGTTAGTTTCATGTTTATCTACCAGAAATAATCGTTTTTTGTTACTTAGGAACTAATTTCCGTTTCCTGTATAGAAAAACGTTGTAAACAGTGTTAAATAAATGTTTTAAAAATCGTTTTAATGCAGTTAATAGTTTATTTAAGGATTTACAGTAAATCAATGTTAACTAGTTATAGAAAATAGATTTTTAATTAATACTTAATTGCTTTCATGTTTTCCTTGACATCAAATATTGAGGCACTTGATTATCAAAAAGTTAAACTACTGCTTATTAATGTTTAATATCAGTAAAATTAATTTATGTATTTATTTATATGCATAGCAACTCAATATACTGCTAACATTACAATTACCTACGTAGTACTTAATAATTAGAAAACAAAATATATAGGTACGTACATTAAAAAAACAGTACTCAAGAACGACAAAATCTTAAGTTAATTAAGACTAAAACAAAACCAAAACCAAGCAAGTACTTAATTTTACATGATAGGCTTTGTAAGGACAATAGTGTAACAAATATCAACAACTATTGAACACAAGAAAAGCGTGGCGTTTTACATAATGTAATAACATAAATGTATTAAGAACATCTATGTAACTATAGAACAAATTGTACGTTTTTTTGTAACAGGCAAATAGGTGAATTATTTGTTGATAAAATAAGTTCGGTAATCTAGATGACCTCTGTTTAATATTAAAGGCGAAATGCCCAAAATATACCGGAGTTAATTTTACTATTTAACAAATAAAATAAAATTATATAAATGCAACATTTCTTTTAAAACTTATACAGGGTGTTAGTAAATAAGTGCGACAAATTTTAGGGGGTGATTCTACATGAGAAAATAATGGCAGTTTGCTTATAAACGTATGTTTTTTTCTTAAAAACTGACGATTTAATTTATTGCTCTGAAACCGGTCGAGATGTGCAAATGAAATTTGGTGGGTTTTAAGAGGTAGTTATTGCGCATTTTTTGACACGCAATTAAGAATTTTATGTTCATCATTGGCGCGCGTACGGGTAATAGTCTCAATTTTTTTAAAGAAAAAAATGGTACGCCACTGAGATATTACAAATTAAAAATGTGACAAAAAATCTCTCTTGCCCTTTCTTCGTATGGGGCGCCGTTTTGATGTAAAAAAATAAAACATCTTAACGCGTATTTTTTATTTCTT